GGGGTGGGGCGGGGCAGGGGCAGGGCAGACAGAGGCAGGAACATCAATCCTTCTCTCCTTTTCCTTGATTCCTCCTGTAGGTTTATGAAAAGCTGAAGGACCATATGCTGATCCCCGTGAGCAATTCTGAACTGGAAAAGGTGGACGGGCTGCTTACCTGCTGCTCGATTTTTATTAACAAGAAGGCAGACTCCTGAGCCGCAGCCCCTCCCTGGTAGCCGGCAATCCTGCACTCATAAGGCCAATAACTGTACCCACTCCTATCGTTCTCATTGACAATCTCCTAGGCCACTGTGCTACTAACTCTGGTTCACAATTCTAGTTTGATTGCTTCGTTCTGCGCCTCCCCCACCCCCCACTCCCCTCGCGGTGGTACCTAAACTGTGGATTTGCTAAATGAATTAAGCAATCTAGAAAATCTGGAGCTACTGAATAACTGAAATGGGATTGATAATAGTAAGGAAACACTCATTTTAGTGTTTGTATTATCTAGTGTGAAGATCCTTTCGTTGCCAATATACACTGAAGAATGTCTTCTTGATCAGTCAGATAAGCTAGGGGTGCTTTTCTGCAGACCACTAATCATCTTTGGTTCCTGTGAAATTCCCTGGTCCATGGACCCTCCCCTTTTCCCTCTTTTTTCCTTCTGAAGTCTGAAACTTTCCCACATCCCACATCTCTCACAGTCACCTTGACCTTGGGTAGAATCTGGGGTCTTGCCTTCCGCATACCTTCCCGCAGGTCGACCCTGCCTGCCATCAGTCCTCTCTGCCTCCTGGCCACATCTTCTGCCACCACCACCACCGTCCCCCAGAGGGTCAAACAGACCCCTCAGCAGAACCGTGACCGAACTCAGAACGGCGATGAGGAGAGAATTAATTGCACAGAGGCTCATCTTGAGGGGGTTCACCCCAGGGATGGAAATTGCACAAGCAGTCAGGCACCATACCTAAGAAGGTGAATTCAGTACTGAATGGTTGCTGGGGGACTGTAGATCCGGAAGCTGGGAAACACCCCATGAGCACAACACTTCAGAGAGTCTTTAAGTCACATTCCATGAATGTTTGCTTCATTACTGGCCATACACAGACCTTGGGGAATAGTCTTTATTTTTTCTTTCAACTCACTTCCATTTCCCCTCATTGTGACTCACCCTACGTCCACCTTTCTACCTTCTACAAGTTTCCTGATCTACACAGTTATTTCTTTCAAGCAAGACATTGCACCTAAAAATGACTATTGGTGTCCTGCCCGTTCAGGAAGTGATAGGCTTGGTGCGTGAAACCAACCGCAGACAATGGACAATTCTCTGAAGTATCCATGAATCTTTACAGTGGAATTCAGTTAAAACTTCTTTCCTTTCTAGACATCAAATTACGCAACCTTAAATTGACACAAATCTCTTAACAAAGAACAATACCGCAGTGAAGGGAGAGGTGGCTGTCTTTTAAACCTGAAAGAATCAGCCTTTTAGCGGGCCAGGGACTTGGCACTTCCCAAGGAATGGTGACTGATCCAGGCATGTTATCAAACTTCCCAATCATCTCCACCTTTCCTGTGTTGCCTATGGCTTGTTGTTTAAGATGAAGAATCAGGGAGATTAAGAAATGCTACTTGCAGTCTTGCTCTGCTCACCTACGTGTTTGTAATCAAAGCTTCCTTATGTTTGGTGACCAAGAGAGAACACCTTCACTCATTTCATCTCCCCCCAAGCATATGGAAGTGATCAACCTCTGAGCAAACCAAGATGTCCTTAACCACTATCTTTTCTATTTGTTTGATGATTTTATGTCAGAATTTGAAGAAATTTCGTCTCCTCCTCTTTCTTTTTGCTTGACTTTAAAATTCATATCACATGCAGACATCTAATTTTATGCACCCTATGACTGAGACATACCTTGGTCACTCTCATAGTACCAACCCTCTCACCATGGGAGAATAGGGAATAGTATGTTTATGCCAGAGAGAGAATGACTGTTGCCCACACGCCCAAGTTTATAAAGAAAAAATGTCCTCTGCAGTTATGGCTGCCTTTTTGGGTTAAATTCTGCCCTATGCTGGCAGAAGCAGAAATCCTCCCTGTGAGAGTTCCGCATCTCAAAAACAACCACAGGAGAACTGTAATTTAGGCTTAATGGCCGTCTTAAGGCACGTATTTTTCAATATCTTGATTGCACTCATTCTCAGTTAAAGAACTGTTCTCTATTATGTTTAGTTAGTTGCAAGTGAGCAGACTTCCCTTTTGAACAACTTGTTCTACAGAAGGCTGTTTTGTCACTCTTCCTTTCCTTCTTTCTATCTTTCCTTCCCTGTGTCTCAAGAAATCACTTAGCATCTATGTGCCTCTTCTGCAGACTCTTACTCTGCACTGCTGTGTCACCGACAAGGCTGGCTTCTTTGGGCTCTCTCTGTGATATGATCATGTGAAAACCTAAAATATCTGCAGCAGAGTAGTGGTATTTCTTCGATGCACTCATCAGCATAATGTGATCTTTGAAGAGGAAAGATGTTACCCGGTTACATAGGCTTCCCTCTTGTCCGTTGTGACTTACAAGGATAAACTAACAGAAACTACTGTTTGACATTATAAAGACATTAGACATTGTATTTAAACACGTAAACTTGAGTCGGAACTAGTTGGTCAGTAAGATTCAACTTAATAAGGACAATACAGAAAAAGTACATGCTTTAACATGATTTCAGCTATGATGGATTGCTATAGAAATCAGCGGGCAGATCGCTCTACTGCGTATTGATTGCTCTTTTAAGCTACAGTGAACAGATTACTAAGGCCATCTCTTCATCCCGAAGGGGGGAAATAGTCTAGATGAGCAATGTGACTTATATAGAGTTGCATGTTAGACTTTGCAATTATTTACGCTTTAACATTCTACAGACATGATTTCCACATGGTGTTAGATTCATGCATTTTTATCTTACCAGCCATCTTGTTGCAGCCAGTGTATGGTTATCCACTCCACGTGCCAAAACCAGTAATGCCTTCCACGGTCCCTTAGTCCAGAGAAGTTCCGCACTGATTTTAGTCTCTTGCTGTCCTGTTCCTACAAGTATACCAATCATGATGGAATAAAGTGTGAGTTGTACTGTGATCAACAGCGTATGTCTCTTTTTTGGCAACAGAAACTGCTATGGTGAATGAATTCACCATTTCCTCGCTAGCAGAGAAATGGCAAGTTTTTCTCTTGTCCTTTAAGCTATGGAATCAGAAATACTGTACCTATAAGTCAACTGTCATTAAAAGCCTGTATTCAAATGATAATCCAAGGATTCTTCATACTTCTAGCACTTAAAAACTGTACATATTATCCATGCATGGTCAGGAGATCTTGATTTCACACGTACCCCTCCTCAAAAGGGCATCCTTGTTCCCTTCACGCCTGTCTTCAGCGCATTATAGTATCATCTCGGTTATGGAGACAGTTGAGCAATTTTTCCCTCTGCTCATGCAAGAGTTTAGTTTTTGTTTGTTTCTTTTACAATAAGCATCTTTTAGGAATTTGAAGATTTTTTTCTAATGAGGCTTTTCATTTCCAACAGGTTTTTTTTTTCAGACTGTAGGTAGCTTTAGTCTTCTCTTTTTCTGATGGTAAAAATCATAACTGCTTGCTGTAAAAATAAAAATCAAAACCTATCAAAAAGAAACCATAAAAACAAAAGGAAAGGGAAAAAAATTACCGCAAATGTTATCACTGATAGATAGCCACTGTTAACATTTTGAAGATTATCCTCATGTTTAGGAATAGGTCCAGATATAAGCATGGACTAATTTTATGTAATCATATGCTGCTCTGTAGCCTGCTTCCTTCGCTTAGCAATTATAGCATGGCCATCTCTCCATGTCAGAGAAATACAGATCTACATCGTCAATTTTAACAGCCCTGAACATTCCATGATATGGTTGTCACAGAGGCTCTGTCTAATTTTACGGAGCGTTCCATCACAGGCGTTAGATATGCCCACATTCTTAGGAGCCGGGGGTCTTTTAAGCAATCAAAAATGCACTGCTTAAACCTATAATGAAAAAGAATATGAAAACAAACATATGTATGTATATGTATGATGGAAACATTATGCTGTGCACCAGAAATTGACACATTGTAACTGACTGTACTTCAATTAAAAAAAAAATACTGCTTATAAGCTTTCATACACCCCCAGAGTTAGCTCAATCTGTAGTCTTCTTATCATCACTGGAGGGTATACGCAAAAGCCCCCCAGCAGCACGGACCACTACTGAAGCTCGTGGGAGAGGCCTTGGATTTAATCCACCGTGGTTGACGTTGCATCGGTTAGTCCTCCATTATTTCCCCCGGCAGTGGTATGAGCAGTGACGCTAACAGCCACCCTTGCAAGCCTGCCCTGGGTCCCCCAGTGGAAATGGAACCCTCCACCCAAGTCTCAGAGTACAGTGCTGCTCTCAGAGGACAAAGGGAGACACTTTTCAAAGGAAGAGTTGGCAGGGGTTCCCTGGCTGGTCTTCCTCCCAGCCTTGCAGAAGAATGGAGGAAAGTAAGAATGAGAAAAACCCCCTCACCACAAGCTGCAGACTCTGGAAATGGGAATCTGCTGAATGCAGAATGCTGGTCCACAGAGTTTTAGACAAGTGAGCACATGTTTAACAAGTGTCCACACTCCGCCAGGCTCCCGGGTGCAGCTCTGGTCTTTCGGGAGCTGACAGTCTGCGAGGGGCAGGGATGGAAGACGACATCAGTGCACAGATGATCTGACACAACGAAAGGTAAGGTCAGAACCAAACAGAACGGTGCTGAGGTGGTTCCCAAGTAGAGGAGAGCAGACGGAGGAATCAGGGTTTAATCTGGGCTTGAAAGTTCAGCTCTGGCTTCAGTGAGCCAAGATGGGGGCCTGGCAGCAGCATGAGCAAAGACGCGAAGGTGGGAGAGCACAGTGTGCACTTCAGAAGCACCTATCTTGCGCCAGTTAACCTGGTGAGGCCCTGGGGAGACAGTGGTGCCTGGCCCTGCTTTACTGGAATTTACATCCGAATAGGAAGGCAAACATTAAACAAGTTACAACAAGTGTGATAAAGATTATGAAAGGAGACGGGGCGCTGAGAGCATGTGGTAGAGGCGAGCCAGTGGATTTGACAACTGTAAGAGCACAGTGAGACCACGTAGGTGGGAGTGTCGAGGGCCGTGGGCACTGGGACTGAATGTGACCTTCTGTTAGTGTCCCCTGGCGACTTCTGGGTCAGGGAGTGATAATCCTGGAGCTTGACATGACAGCCTTATCTAGGGTGAATAGGAACTGAGACTGATGTTTTTCTAAACTTAATCTCCCCAAATCTAATTTGTCATTGTCACATCTCATCTCATCACCAAAATGGAACCCGAGAGCTGGACAATTAACTCTCTCTCTATTTTCTCTCCTGAGAAACAGATGAATAGCACCTTCCCCTCCCAACTCCAAAGGGACATTT